CCCCCCCGGGCCGGGGTGGGGGGAGCCCGTCCTGCCGCCGTGCCAAGGGGAACGTGTCTGCGTGTACCCACCCGTGTGTGTCGGAGGGTGTACGTTTATCTGGGATATGGGAAAAACACATCAGGAGCTCGCACAGGCTAAAAGGCGACTGTGCTGTGGAAATTTAACTGTGTGTCTGGTTTGGGTGACATGCTCGTGTGATACCCCCGGAGCCAAGTGCAGACGCGTGGTCCGACGGAGAACTGAAGATGGCACAGGCACCTTGCCCAGCTGTGAGCGTACTCAGCAAACACAGTGTCGGGGATTCGCAGCCCTGTGCGCGCACAAACGTTCCTGCTCAAGTCTCCGCAAGCACCAGATTCGCACTGAAAATTCACTCTGGTGTACGCAAACACGGAGAAATCCCCAGACCGGAGTCTCCAGGTTAATAAACACGGAGCAAAAATCCCCCGCAGCTTAATAACCCAGCATGAAACGTCTCTGCGCGCGCAGGCTAGCTGTCCGTATCCAGTAAATCCTGCCTTAAATCAGAGATTCGTGCCATTTAAAGTTTCTCTTCGCTGCCCAAGCCGTAGAAATAGACCTCGTTGTAAATGAGCACCTCTATATTTTTGAGCGTTTCAAAGCAAATGGAAATTATGGGAATGCATGGGCAGGATTATCCCGCTCGCAAGGAAGCACCCTGGTGACGGGCCACGGGAACCTCGGGGAAGAGGATGCCCGCGGGAAACAAAAGAGTCCCTCAAGTTTGCCTTTAAAATGCTTTTTTTCTGCCGTTTAGCATCCTGTCTTCCACAGCAGCTTCAAAATAAGTGAATAAATACAGCTGCTGGTTTATTGCTCCTTATCCAAACAGCCAGCCCCAATCCTGCCGCCCTGTAACTATGTGCTTAATTGAAATCACACGTTCAAAGCTGGGCAAGCGCCGAAGCCTCTCCCGAAAAAAAAGGCCGCCGCCGAGAAAAAAAAACCTGCGGAGATTCACAGCTTCTGGCTTTGCTTGCACAGAGGTTGTGTGGATTAAAATACGGGTGTCGTCATACAAGTTTTTGATTTGTTTTATTAAAAGCCTGTTAAATCTCTTATTTTTTTCCCTCTTTATAATAAGTCGTGACTGCCACTGTAATTGGGATATAGTTTCCCGCGGAAAGAGATGTTGGAGATGCTCGGGTTATTCACGGAGCAGTTTATGTTGCAGTCGTTGGGGCGGGCGAGCTGTGGCAGAGCAGGGGGTTACGGTGAGATGCTGCTGGCAGGAAGGACGGGCAGACGGATGGACAGCGAGCCGGAGGGACGAGAGATGGGCAAAAGCACCGGCTGGCTTTTCCCTTCAGCTTCTCCCGCTTGGCCGAACCCGCTGCCTAATGACGCGTCCTGTTTCCCATTAGTACTGTGTGCTCAGCTAATGCATTTCGGTTCGAAAGCTGGAAATTTTCACTCGCTGGTAATGACTTGGGAAATATAGCACCCAGCAGCCAGGCAGAGCGGGGGCTCGGGCCCGGGGGACCCCCCCGCCTCCCCCTGCCCGCGTGAGGTTGAACCACCGGCTCCATCCCCACCCCATCTGCTCCAGCAGAGGAGACTTTTGCAGGAGCTTGGGCAGGGGAGATGAAAGGATGGACCCCGATCCTCTTTTTTTTTTGGTGGTGGGGCTTTGGTTTGTGTTTTTTTGGGGTTTTTTTTTTATTATTATTCCAGTTTTGTTTTTCAAGAGCGTAGAAAATAAAAGGGGAGGGGGAGTTTCTTAGGGGGGTAAAAAAAAAAAATCCCAACAACAAAACAACAACAAAAAAAGCCCCCAGCCCTTTGTAAACATCCCCCCTGAGCAAAGGGAAGGAGGTGAAAAGCATTTCCTGATAACTCCATTAAAGAATGAGGCTGCATTAACATTCCAAGTACCTCGACAAGAGATGAAAGTGGGGAACTTGAGTTCAGCCTCTCCTTGCTCCAGATGTTATTATGGGCTCCCTGAAAGGTTTTTTTATTTCTTTTTTTGCAAAGAGACAAAGATGTTGCCTACTTCAAACGGGGCTAATTGATGCTAATGACTATCAGATAGAGTGGGGGCCCTTATTCCCCCCTGCAAAGGGGAACGAGAGAGTGCATTTTACAATCCCCTCATAGAAAACGCCCCGCTCTTCAAGCCAGGTTGCTGCTTTGCTGATTTTTGTTTCTCTCTGGCTGCTGCTTTCTCTCCTCCTCCGCTGCCCCCCCCCCCCACCCCCTCTTTTTTCCTTCTTCTGGGCACCCCGCAGCTCTCACTTGTTT